TTTCTGTTGGGTCACTCAAGCTCTATGTCCTCACCGCATTGCCCTCTTTATTTATAGCATAAAACTGAGGAAAGTGTCGTCACAAAGAAACCTTTTACTGGTGATATTATTAGCACAAGACTTAAACCTTAAAACCGGCAGAGTTGTAATACAGGATTGCCTAATCCACTGTGAATTATGTCAAGGGTACAGTAGGGGGTAGCAGTGTGACTATGTGCTCTTTACATTTCACTGGTTTTTTTTATACCAGAAACATTAATCCCGTAGAGAAAAGGCCCTTTGATGTTCAGGGACTGATACATTGCACTTTCGATGGTTCAGGGTTTAACTGGAAAAGCGGGGAGGAAACCCTGGTGATTTACAGCTCCAGGTTATGTATACTTACCATTAAAATGAGTTCACATCTACACCACACTGAGTAAGCTTATAATGACACAAATCAACGCCCTCACCACACAAACCTGGCAAAAGATTTTCTTATCCAATACTGAGACAACAATTTACATCTATATCTAGTATTATGTATAGAACAGGACAAGGAACATTAGGAAAGGATAATCCGGTATTATCAGACATTCTGTGACACTGATGTCATATAGTCATCACAGTTAAACACAAGTAGGACTTACAAAAAATATGGTATATATATTGTACAACAGTTTTATTTCAAGTTGGATTATATTAGATATTCTAAGAGATTTAAAGAAGATAAGCTGGGTCAGCTATTTCATACTGAGGGTTTACATATCAAAAGCAGCAATTTCATTTCAATGGCACCAAACCAGGATGTGCCAATATCACTGATGAAAAAAAGGGAGATTTTTTTTCATCTACCAATGTGTTCATGTTCACATAAATGTCCCAGGGTACACCATTACTCTCCCTGAAGAAAGAAGTGGCAGAGCTGACTACCATCTGTTGTTTTGCCAACCACAAACTGCATGTTTAAACACACATGCCTGTGGTTTAACTCCAGGCTTACACTTGATATATAAGGTTCCACCATTTCATTCATAAAAATTTGCACTAGACCTAAGTTTTCAACCACAAAATTAGAGCGTGATAGCAAAGGTGTTGATTACATCAAGCTTGCAGTGAAGGGTGGCTGTGGACGTTGTATCACATTGTGCCTCATATCATTCACTAATCTATTTCCTTCTTATCCACTTATCTGCATTAATGCATAGTGGCTTAATCATTATTTCTTGAAATCTTTCAAACTTTCTTTCAATTCATCACAAAACAATTTACTTGGCAGCCTATAGAAAAAAATTAATAAAAATTTTAAAAATGTGACTAAAATATAATTTTAGTATGAAGTTCAGAAGGTCATCATGAAAAAACCATGTGACCAATATGCATACTGAAATGTACAGGTGTAGTAGGTGCATTTACAGGTAAAATGCACTGTCGGGCGTGCTGTCACAGTTAGTTTACAAGTGTATAGTGATTCAAGGACTCATTGGGAAGTCTGAACAGGGTGTATACATGTTCATAATAAATACAGACCTCTCACGTAAATGTCTAAAATATCTTTTTAACTTCAGTTCGGCAAAGATCATAATTACAGGCATGCTTATAAAAAAGTAAATATCAACAACCAACGCATGCTATTGTTTGGATTATTTCTCAGATCAGTTAAGTTTTACTACATCAATAGATTATATATTACATGTGTTTCCTCTTCCTTTTCAAATTTGTGTGTATCTATAATTGAAATAAACTGGTAACATATGTACTAAAGCAAAACTTTTCAGATTTTCTTTTTTAATAATGGTTCTGCTAACAAACATCTAAAAATAGTTCAATTTTTTTTTTATGTCCTTAAAAAACCCGAGAAGCAATCATGTGTTTAAATCTTTATCAGACCAATGTTTTGACAGTATCAGTGTAGCCTTGATGAACTCAGCTGTTGGCTACAAAAGTCCTATGAGAACTTGAAAATCTGTTTGGAATCACCACAGATAAAGTGTGTGTTTTGAGAGTGTATGATGGGTCGAGAGGGGGATAATCTCTGGAAATCTTACTCGAGAGTGGTAGAATTAGGGGCCTTTTTATATTGGGGTGTTTTAATGATGAACCAGAGATGGGGAAGAGAGAAGGGAGGAGGCCACCAGGTACCAAGTGCAGTGTTAATGGGCCAAAGCAAGTGGTCAATGATTTGAACAAGTGTGCCAACCTGTGGCCCCCCACATCAGGGGTATCCGGTGTCCTTTCCCCCTCCTATACCATCACCACGGCCCTTAGACTCACACAGCCCCCTACCATTGCTACAGTCCCCTGACACTTTACACAGGCTCCTCCATGAAAAAAACTTGTACTTCTGTTCCCCATATAACAACCACTCCTGTCAGCTTAACCATACAATATCAAAGTTTGGTTTTCTCAAAAAATCTTCATGGTTTCATTTAAGACGACTTAAAACAACACAGTATCTGAAGGTTACATTGTTATCTATATACCATTTGTATTCATTGAGAGAAATAAACAATGCCGAGAAAAAGTTTGAGACCAAACTTCAGTGTCAGTAAAACTAGGCTTTTATGAAAATTGGGGTCCTGACTGCTAATTGAAAATTATCTGGATGACTAACAGTGTCCCTGGTGGGAATTTCTCACTTGGTAATTTAAAAGCCATCAGGGGAGTTGATAATGAACTTTACATAATTTATTAGTACAGTTACATCAACAGGAAATGAAGCATATTTAACTAACAAGAGTAAATGATCTGTACACCAGATTAAAACATTCTTGTCTCAAAATATACAAAATGATAAAAATCTGTAAAATCTGCTGACTCTGCAATTCATATATCTTTAACTGTAGTGCCTCTTATATCTTAAGAAAGAGACAAACTTTACTTGAATGACTCCTCTATCACACAAATTGACAAAAAAAAGAGAGTAAAATTCTGGTGTACATATCTATAGATAAATGAATACTTTCATTACTTTGAAATATTTGCTGCATATTTTAAAAAACATTGATAAATGTATACTTTAACAAGAGAGTGATGTGGAGTTCATACCAGCATTTTCGAACCATTAAAACAACATTTTCATTCATGATAACTTGCCATTTTAGAGGTCATATAGTGAATGTGAAATTTTGGGTTGCACTGATATTGTGTCACAAAGCTATCATGATTGATTCTTCTGAAAACACAGTAAAGTTCCAAATGAATTATCACTTATAATAAAATTGTTTTAAGTTTTGATTTGTGATTTGGTTTTTTCTATTTATTGGACAGAACTTTCTAGATTTAATAAATAAGAATACCTGTGTACTTTTAAGATAAGAAAATGGAACTTAACTCATCAATCATCAGTTTCATATAGATAATGATTTAGTGTGCTCAACTGTTGATGAGAGTTCTATAATCAACTTATTTAATATTGCACATTTCTATATAGACTTCTTGATTAATTTACTCCTTATTTTTTATGTCTTGTTTGAGCTGTCGTTTGACCCAACCTTTATGACCTTGAAAATAGGTCAAGGTAAATTAACTTGATTTCTGCTTTTTTTAATAGCTACTTCAGCAAATGTTGCTATTGAACTAGGACTATCTGAATATAAGATTTTTTCAAAGTACTAGCCTATGTTAAAATTTGATCCAGGCCAGTTATAAAATGCGAGCTTCAATATCAATACAACGAAGGTTGGAGAAGGATATCTGTCTGCAATAGTATTGATTGTGATTGTTAGTTTCAATGACCACAACTTTTTATTTTTCAATTTATTATTGAACTCAACTTTACATAATTCATCCCAGCTTTTTAAAAGCAAGCCAAGGCAGTTGGACACATTTTTATAACTCTGAAAGTCTAATAGGTATGCTGTAATCAGGAAACTAAGAGCTGAAACAAATGTTTGAACATTTGCAAATGAATACTTATTTCTGAACATTAATATTTGAATGATTCCTTGTGATTTACCCCCCACCCCATCCCTCTGATGGACAACATGGATATTGCCAATTGAATTCAAAGAGATCTAAAGCTGAACATAAGCTATGGTCCGTAGTTTTATTACACTAACTTACCTGATCATCTCTGAGCCAAAAACCCTGTCATCTGGAGGTAACATACGTCAGAATGATACACACACTTAAGTGTAGCATACTTGGTTACAAGCGTTCAACTAACACATGACAATACACCATGTATGCTATTTGTACTGTCGTTTTATTTCAGCGTATCAAACAGTAAAAATGTAAACGCCTATGTAAAATACAGAAATGTACACATTAGTCTGTATTACTGATGATAAAGATCTACTAGGTAATTGTTTCAGCTCTACAGGAAATAGATTACAAAATGAAGATAGGAACGAAAGTGGAGGACATCTGACCAGAACAACAGATGATGTCATCAATACCTTACATAGTAAGTAATTAGGAACGACGCCTGCAGCATTGTAACTAAATACTACAACATAGATGTCAGTGGTAGTTTTCAGCTGAAGAGTTAATTATACTTTGGAATGTAGATGAAGTTTAATCAATGGCGCATGCAACAAAGTTTGTAGGGGAGGTGGCTTGTTTACACTAACAAAGGGAACCAAAAAGTTGGTGATGTAGGACTGTGATGCTCTTTCAAATACTATTGGATTTTTACATCTTTAGTTCTAAAATTTTCACAAATAAATAACCTTCAAGAAAAACATGACTTTAAATACATTAGTTTACATTTACATGCGTTTTGCTCACAATGAATGCAAAACAGGATCAGTGACTTCCTCAATGTAGATGGGCATTGTCTTCGGAAATTGTAAGCTAAAAGTATTTCTGTATCTGACACTACATTGTTTATGATTTGTTTTTTAGTGAATAGTTTCTGTTTACTCATCAATGACTAATCCAATGAGAAATGTTGATTCTCTTTTCAATTATGATCTGTGAGTAGACATGATATTTCTTAATGTCTTATATTAATCAGAACTAAAGTACTACAACAGATCTGTATCCACCTCTTACCGAACAAATAACACACAACTTACCTATTTTGACAGGATCTTTCTTGGGTATGAACATTGACAGAAGGTTTTCTGGTATTTGAATGATTGTCTGATGGTCAGATGCTTCAGCTCCTTCCGTTTTATCTGTAAACAACAACAGTTTTACATCTTACAGTAAAGCCCATCACAACTGTTAAGGTTTATACTGACACTTTTAACAGGATGTTTTTTCTTTGTTTATTTCTTTCATTTTCTTTTTAAATCTAAGTTATTTGAGTGGCAAATTCAATGATGACAAAATGAGATTGGTAATGTCACATTATTTAGTAACAAATATAGTTAGTTTACAACAAGTTTCTTTCACATGTTTTTGCTTTTGTGAATTTTGCAATTAAAGCAAAATTATGACAAACTAATCAATGTGAATTAAATCAGATACTAAATAATTTGCATGACTAAACTTTGTCAATAAATAATACATGACCATTTACATAACATACAGTTTATCCTGAATCTAAATACAGCGACAACATGTTTCATAATTCTGTTATCTATTTCAGTGCTGAGGACGATTTATACCTTCAGTATGAGATAAAGTCTGATACTGAGGAGTTCATGTTCAGGTAGAGATTGCTAGTATGCTTGAATTCAATGACAGGGTCACCAGTTATTTAAGTCACACAACTGTGATTTACCTTGCTTATATGATACTTCAAATTTGTCATGGTAAGGAAGTTTCAAGAGTCATTCCTAGTCTACAAGCAGGACATTATCTAACCTGTGTCCTTAAATAACATGACAAGCTTACATACTGTGGTCAAATAAGTGACAGAAAATAGATTTAGTTTAATCAAACTTTACAATGTTGGTTCAGAATTTGTGAAAGTAAACTGCTGTGAACTTGCTACATAACTAAAACTTGTAGAAGTGGCAATGAAAGAATGATAGTTTTATCAAAACATAGAATGTAAACAGATGAAGCGCTGACCTCATGGCAGTATCCTCCAGCTATCTAGCTATTTAGGGCTATTCTAGTAAAAAAATCTAGGTATGGTGGGTGTTAAAGTTGGAGTAAACTCATTTTTTCAAATGTTTCAAACATTAAGTCTTCCTGTTGGTGAGATATTTTACCAAAAGCTGTTAACTGTCATAGTGAAAATAATATTCACTGTATTGCATTCAGTTTGTTGACTCTCAATGGCGTACACTGAAGACTGGCAGACATTGGAGAGCACTTATCATTCAGCATAGAGTGAGTCATAACATCCATCCTCTAAGCTGGTTCAAACCTTAACGATGATATTTTAGTTATGATAATTATCGTACTCACTGGTAGTGTCTGATGAAGATATGGGTAATGTTGTTCCAGCTTCAGCTGAGGCAGCCACGTCAGCCAGGGTACTCACTTCTGTAATGTGAAAAACAATGTAGTGGCGATGAAAATGGAACACTGGTCTAAGGGTAGATAACTCTTATTTATTTTCAAAATTGCATTTTTGTTGGAATGTTTGCACAGTTTTATGAGCCATGAACATGATCAAGAAAATTAAATTCTTGAAATAAGATGTGTAAATATTATCAATGTTATATACTTCAATGAACAACAGATGGTGTATACAATAAACTGCAGACAATTCAAAAGACTATAGTGCTTGCATCTTTTCAATAATAACTTCAATATAATGCAGATAGTTGTACTGAAATCATATATCTGAATTTTGAAAATTTGGTGAAAAATTTGTGATAATTAGACATCTTCTTTGAAATATCAAGATCATGAAATATTTAAAAACCTAAACATTTCATTCTCTCATTTTAGATAAAAATTACAAAAATTCTTCAATAACGAGCTAAACAGTTTATATAACTTTTGAAGATTTATATCCTAACCTCACATTTTGTATTAATTGGCAGCCAAACTTTTCTGTTCTTAAGTGAAGAGCACATAACATAGAGTTTTCGGAATAATTTTCTATTCAAACTCAATACTCAATGCTTAGATCTAGACTGAAATAATTGAACTGATCATCTTGACCTCCCTCCTTCTCATACTTACCCGTGTCCAGAGAGAGATCCGACTCGTTGAGCGTGACCTCTTGCGATGTGTTGGCTGTGTCACCTTCATCTTCTGGACGAGCCACAAGATTGGGCAATGATTTTACCTGCTCCTGGAAAGCTTGAAGGTTGGACAATCCCTGTAAAATAAATGTTTCACTAAGCCACTGTAATGTTGTTTATTGTTTATTTTCCCAATTTAAACAACTGACAGCTAAAAATAGATATGGTAAGCAAAACTCTGTTACCTTTCATCTTTTCTTGCTTAGTTTTTCTCTAAAAGATAAGAGAATTGAATCATACATTTCTTTTCAATTTCTTGCTTTTCCTACTTTTTATATTTTAATGCCATCTGCTAAAATATATTTACATAGTTGAAATTTTTTTTTCACAACTGTGAACAATTTTCCAAAATCCGAAAGTTCATACAAAAATAAAATATTTATGAAAAAATGATGATGAATCTACTTTTGATTATTAGTATCAATAATCAATAATTATTTGTAACCTGTCTACATTGCCCTATTAGTTTGTTTGATTGGAGAGGAATGAAGTAGAACTTTCTACTGTTACTGCTGTTGATTCTTAGATCAAATATATCCATTCTTAAATGTATAACTAAAATTTTTTATCCCTTTTCATGTCTTTCCTTACTGCTAAAATGTGCTTCATTTTATCACTGGAGAATTAAACTAGAAACACTGTTGAGTTAATAGGAAGTTCATACTGTCCTCAAACAAGGACAATCAATGTGGATTTTTGTATATTAAGGTTGAAGTATCAAGGTTAACCATCCTCAAAGTGATCATGGGGTCACATAGATACACCCCTCCCCCATCTTTTTATTTTTGATTATCTCTGTTGAGGGGTTCATGAGATATCTTGTACACAAATTTGACCTTTGATGATGACCGCTATAACTAACCTGGTGCAGAAATTTAATGTGTAATGATATGGTGTGAATATGAAATAAATTTGCTCAGGAGTTTACGAGATACCTTCCACACAAGCTTCGCCTTGAAGAATGCACAAATCAATTCCTATATACTCCCCTCCTTAACAAAGTCGGGGGCAAAAATAGATGACTTGAAGTTTGCCTTTTCTGACCCTTACCCTTTGAAAGTTCTTACCTGTATGGGGGCCATCATGATGGTTTGACCATTAGCTCCAGGAATAATGACTGCTGGGATCTGTGTGTTGGAGCTGGACTGGCCAGGAGGAGGATATCTCCTTGGGCGTCCACGTCCTCTTTTAACACCTGGAACAGTAGACACCAGAATGTATAGTCAAATATCTGTTATTGAACTGTTACAGAATTAATCAGTTCACATTATGGATTAGGTCCTATATACTGCATCTTGGAAAACCATTAAGGGCAATGCGCCTGTCATGCATTTCTTAAACTTTACATTAATATTTTGCAATGATTTTAACTGTTACATTATAATGACCATTCTTACTGACAACACATTTAAGCCGTCAGTCTAGGCCTACAAATATGTGATGTCACATTCTGAACATACAATATCATATGGAACAAAATATCAGCAATTCTTTGATGTTTTCTCATTTGTATAACATACAGTTACAGCGACACATTGTAAAAAGCACGAAGATATTATAGCAATAACTCCAACGTGTCCAGACAGAAGAAACCCGTAACTATCTGCCTACTATGATGGACTACCTGTATTTGGCACCAAGTAAGGTGTTAGAGGCACATAGTTTTTGTCGTCAATTCTCCTCTTTTTCATCTCATTTTCCTCGTCTTCCCCTCCAGAATCACTTGATAATTCTAGAACCTCATAGTCTAAAAAAGAAACCCCTAATAATGAGTATATATTCATGCAACATATACAAAACAATGATAAATTATTCCTAAAACTTGGTTTCTAAACTGTATCACCAGCTTGCTAACATGTCAAGTCTGTAGGTCAACAGCTCATATTACAGGATACTGATAACTTGATCAGGATAAAGGTCTGCCCAATATGTGAGCTGAGGGCACCTATTAAAGCATGGTTTAAGAAAATTTGTATGAAAACCTTATCTCAATGAATATTGAGAAGAAACCTTTTTCACCCTTATAATGCTTCGAGAATTCGCCTCATTACCAGACCATTTGTTGAGTTTCAAAACATATCTTTGGTGTTTAAGATACATAAAAGTGGAGAGTTTATATGAATACTTTAAGAATGCATGCAACTTTTAATGTCTACAAACCATTCAATGATGAAGCTTGCTTCCTTACTCGTCCACTTCTTCTTAACCCATCAGGATCTGAAATAACAATTTAGTCAAGACATCTCCACATCATTGCTGAAGGATGAAAACCAAAGTAAAAATAAAATATTCTTGTTTTGAAAAAAAAAACCACATTAGTTACAATGTGTTATGATAATTCTACATCCATGTCACATTATAGAAATATGTAGGTGTGTAGATGTGTGTAATGAAAAGAACTTTCAGTATGTATCAAAGTATAACATGTTCTACAACTATAAAATGAACATCAGGGATCAGTTTCTTCTAATACAAATTGTTTCTTAACAGTTCTGACTATGTGACTTGATTATGTCTGATAGTAAACTCTGAACAAGTGTAACATTTTTGTTTGACCACGACAATCTAAAACAAATATTATGATTAGTAATTGACCAGACCAGTATGTTTTAATCAACTTTAATAAAAATAATCATAAGAGGAAAAATAAGAAGAAAATGAAGGATTCACAATACACAACAAAGAAATGATATATTTCAGTAACATTTTTCATCCTATTAATGCACTAAACATCTAATATTTGTGTATGGTGTGTTACCTGTATTGCCTAGTTCTAACAAGCCCTCAGCAGCACTGTTTTGATCCTTGTCCTGGGGAGGCATGGCTTTGATTGGGGGTAATGTCCCCTTGGATGAATCAGATGGTGTGTCCTGTCGGTGTTCTTTACGGGGACGTCCTCGCTTTTTCTTTCCTAAAAATTAAAGCAGATTTTATGTATTGCACAAAGAGCAATAACTTTACGTGATATAAATATAGTTATCACACAACTACCCTGATATCAGTGTTATAACACTCATTACACAACTACCCTGTTATCAGTGTTATAACACTCATTACACAACTACCCTGATATCAGTGTTATAACACTCATTACACAACTACCCTGTTATCAGTGTTATAACACTCATTACACAACTACCCTGTTATCAGTGTTATAACACTCATTTCACAACTACCCTGTTATCAGTGTTATAACACTCATTTCACAACTACCCTGTTATCAGTGTTATAACACTCATTACACAACTACCCTGATATCAGTGTTATAACACTCATTACAAACCTACCCTGTAATCAGTGTTATAACACTCATTACAAAACTACCCTGTTATCAGGTTTGTAACACTCAATACACAACTACCCTTTTATCAGGGTTGTAACACTCAATACACAACTACCCTGTCATCAGTGTTACAACACTCATAACAAAACTACCCTGTTATCAGTGTTGTAACACCCATTACACAACTACCATGTTATTAGTGTTATAACACTCATTACACAACTACCCTGTTATCAGTGTTATAACACTCATTACACAACTACCCTGTTATCAGTGTTATAACACCCATTACACAACTACCCAGTTATCAAGGTTATAACACTCAATACATAACTACCATGTTACCACTGTTATAACACTCTTTACATATATCGTTGTTATTACAAATGTTTAATATGTTTTTGCAGAGCTATGATAGGCTGGAGGTTCTAATTGTGAAGCCACCAAAAAAAAAGAAATATAAAAAGTTAAAAACACTAATGATTTAGAGTTTATATTGTCTCAAAAACTTAAGTTTTGTGATTGTTAGCAATTGCTTTTGTTTCCTATGAAATATATATAGTCGTAATTTTTTCATTCGAACATGTCACAGGCTCTAAGACTGGTTTCATCAATCTCATGTGAATAGAAACTCACATCAGATCCTTTATGCATGTATTAAATTAATAAATTATCAATTCAATACATGTACATAAGAACCAGACTACAGGTTTAGAGTTAGGAAGTCCCTTGCTGGTGTTTGATAATTATATAACATATCTACAGCAGTGTTCTAGGCTTGTTTATAACTGGAAAATCAATCAATTGATCAATGAAAAGCCTTCAGGAGAATCAAATTAAAATTATTTCTCCTCAAGACAATTTATAAACACAAGAGTGAATCATCTTTTCATACCACATTAAATTTTTGGCTGCTGACAAATGACATTCTTGTGAACCATGGCAAACAAACTTTTAAACTGCTAACAAACTTTTAAACTGCTCACAGTGCCAAGAGAAGACATGAGTTGTGCTGTGGTTAATTTCACTTGAAATTACCTTAAACTATTACTAGAAACTTTAGAAATTTGATATGACTGTCAGAGAAATTTAGATGATTTTTCAAAAGTTCAAACAAAAAAGGCAAAGTATAAGTATATGGTCTAAGGGAAATAACTCTGAAAATATTTCTTGAAATACAAAGTACAAAAATCATTTTCATTTCAAACTGATCAACCATTTCTACTGCTAATCCATTGAGTGATAAATGGATTTTAGGAAACACTATGACAGAACTGTGTTATTCCCTATGGTCCAGATACATTTGTTTATCTGTAATATGTGTACTTTATCATATTATATGGTCAGATATCATGGTTAATTCATTGTGTCTTGCCCCTGTAGTGTAACATAAAATTTGCATGATGTCCATATACAAATATTCCTCACTGATTTGTTATTTTGAATGGGGATTTTAGGTGACCATTACCAATAGCCAGTCAATCAAGATCATTTTCCAACATGTTTACCTTTGTCTGTTTCATGGGGAACTGTATAGCTATCACAAGCCTTCATGTGAACAGCATATCAAATTCATTAAGTCTTTTTTTTTATCTATATTAAGATTCTATTTATAAAACTGATATTCATGAAATAATTGGCAGCAATAATCTCTCAAATTTTCTAGTGAGAAGACTAAAACTAGATCAGATTTTATTACCTTGATAACCATGCTTAAATATATATTATACATAATTTCCTCGAAGAGTTGAATTTTTCAAAACCCTGGAGGACTTCAATATTGGTAATAGTTTTGTTACTTCATAAACATGAAATGAATTGATTGTAAAAAATGATTTAAATTACTGAAAATTATTGATGGGTCATTACTAAAAGTGTTTTTTTTTTCTAAATACCTACCTGGAGGCGGCAGCACCGGGTAAGCACACAGCTCCCCTGTGGTTGGGTTTGCCATTAAGATACACTTCTTTCCATTGATCACCACCTCAGTACTGTCTGTCACAGCAATCGGCTTTGACAGATCAAGTTGTTTACCCTCTTCTTTAGGTTCTGCCACGTTAGTCTGAGTGGTTTCTGTGCTGTCACTTTGGAGAGGTTCTCCAAAAACACTGGCAGATTGAGCATGCCCTGTGTTTTCAGAAACATCTGGGTTCTGAGTAACTCCTGACCCTTCTGGGACCATGGATATCTGAACAGTTTGTGTTCTTTGTGGTTCTTCAATAGCTTTGTTGATTGGATCATTACTACCTTTTTCCAAATTTTCAAGGACTACAACAATAATTAATAATGACTATGTTTTATGAAGATGAAGAATAAAAATCATGTACATACTTACATATTGCTTATCTAATACTTTGAAAGTTTGCTATTTAAAAAAAAAAAATCATCACATCAAATTGTAATTTCACTTCAACAAGATAAACAGAAACTGTAGACATTGTAATGATATGAAGTTAAAAGTTTTTTTTATCAGATGAAGCTTAAGAGATTTATCATTTTACTTAATCACTATAATAAATTGGATCTGTAGAATCAATTCCATACGTATACAATCTGTCGACCCTCATTTAGATAGATATATCTTCTTTAAGAAGGGGTCATGTTCAACACCCCTATCCACTCTCTTTCGTCCTAAGATTCCAATGAATAACACTAGAACATAGATATGTTTGACTGTTCATAATCAATTTGAAAACAAAAATTGAAAAAAAATGGTCTCATAATCTTAACTAAATTACAAAGATTTAGGAAAAACAAAGAACAGATAGTTGTTGTTACCTTGTGGCTGTTGTAACAAAGAAATCTGACCAGGCACTTTATTGGACTCATCAGACTGCAGAGTTGATTTTACATCTTGAGCAAGAATTTGGGTTTCAGTTACGATCACATGTCTTTGAGCCTCTGTGACAAGTGTTGATGACTCCAACAGCTCTGTGTCTGCATGCAGAACTTGGGACTGTGTCATAATGGATGTTGTTTGGGATGGGTCTGATTCTGTCTGCAGTATTTGGGCATGTGTCACAACTGATGTTTGTAATGGATCTGCCTCTGTCTGCAGTATTTCAGCCTGTGTGACAATCGATGATGGTTGTAACAGGTCTGTCTCAGACTGTAGAACTTGTGTTTGAGTGAGGTTCGAGGTCGGCTGTAATAGGTTCGCCTCAGATGACAATGCCTGTGTGACAATTGATGATGGTTGTAACAGGTTTGCCTCAGTTTGCAGTACTTCAGAGGTGTGTGTCACATTTGAAGTTGATTGTAATAAGTTTGCCCCAGACTGCAAAGCCTGTGTGACAATGGCTGATGGGTGTAAAATTTGGGTCTCTGTTGTTACAGTTTGTTGTCCCTCATTATACACCTGGTACACTTGTTGTCCACCTTCTGTGTCTGACTGCTGGATGTTAATCAACTGAATGGTGCCACTCTGTTGTTCCATATCATTGCCATTTTCCATTGCTTGTACCTGTATTGCATCGTTTCCAGAGACCAGCTCATCAGAAACAGATGTCTCTGTCCCATATCCTGGAAAAGAAAGAAACATATAGCTTCAAACTTTGTACAAAATAACTCTCTTGTTCATACTTAATTAAACACAAAAAATTCTCTCATAAAGTGTGAAGTGTAGTTATTTTAATTTCTTTTTACACAACTACAATTGCAGCAAAAATACCACTGGTAATGATTAGTGATATCTATGTAAAGGAAAATCTCACAAAAGTACTTTCATTAATAAAATCAAAACCTACTTCTTTGCATGGATGTGGAATATATAATATATATTATACGTCCCTCCTATTTGTCATTAACAATTTACTTTTTTAAACACAGATAAAGACCTGTTTTATCTAATTTTCTGATCAGCATTAAGATCATCCAGTATAAGCACTTTCAACTCTTACCTTAAGTATGAAGTTAAAAATTCTTCCTATCAAATTAGCCGTGCAACATCAAGTTGTGTCTTAACATCATAGATAACGATCAGCTGTAGGACTATTTATCAACTTTTGGTATGTATACACAATGGAAATATTTCAGGACAAAATAGTCCTGCAGAACCATGTTCAAGTGACATGCAAACAAGTAAAAATTGTGTTGAGTGACAAATGGATGAATTTATCCTTAATGTTGTAAACACGTATTCATGGTCCTAATAATTCACAATACACTATTACAGGGTATTTATTTTTTGTCAGTGTTTAATGTTCATGGCGAATATTTATCTGGCGAATTTTAATTCAGGAAGCTACATTATACACTAGAAATTACATATGTTCGCTCTCCCAGGGCAAAACATGACATGGCTAAATTTACATACTCCAGTTTTTGCACCAAATGGCATAATATGCAGATGGTGAAATAATCCTGTTCACACAACACTGCTCAGAAATGTAATTGGTAAAACACATAAAAAAATTCTATAAAGCCATGCAACTTCTGTGTCATTTTCCTTTTTAACAACTTACCAACAATGTCATCACCAGACTGTATGACAGTTATACCGACAGCATCCATAGCCCCTCCCTCTGATACAAGTGTGCCATCTGTGGAGATCTGCGCCCCATCCTGGGTGAGGATATGGTAAGTACCTGGAGGAATGTGTACAGTACCTGATCCATCCATTGGGATACCCTGTTCCTGGAGAATAATTTGGGCAGCATCCTCGAGACTGATCGTGATTGTCTCTGTGTTTTCTAGGTCCTCGATCACACCTTCCATCATTCATCTAAACATATTGTACTAAATAATTGAAACACATTATTTTTTCTTAAATTAAGAATTTAGTACCTACTACTAATAATTCAAATTTTGATATTGTCTTTCGTAATGGATTTTCTCAAAAGTTTCCTCCTTAAAGCAATATTCTAGGCCTGGGTATCATTGCTAGTTGGGGGAGAGCATAATTTAAGTGCATGTGATACTCTACTAGCCAAGCTTATATGGACAGACAAGGCAAGTATACACACCTGTGTAAATACAGGTATTGGATCTCTAAAAAATATTGTGAAGTCTGCAGTTTTATGCACATGATCAATGCAAATGTATAGAAGCTAAGAAATGGATAAGAGAAATTTATATTGTTCACCCCTTTGTTGGTGTACTGTGACCTCAACTCTACATCAGAGAAAAGATCATTAAGTTGGCCATCAGTCAGCAATCCTCTTGTTTGCCAACCAAGAATCTTTCCTCTGGATTTGATATTATCTTATCTCCACCCCAGCAAGGTGAATTGAAAGACTCCATTATTTTCCTTTAGAAAAATATCAATCCGAAAAGGGACACGTTTGTATATACAAGTCTATATAATATATATCATATCACTAGTATTATCATTTAGACTAATGTATGTCCTGGTAGTATGATTATCTAACCTGTTTAGTTACAGTACTGTTCGGTTTTTCTGTTAATCGTTACTGAAAAAGAGTATAATGTACCTGTCAACTGCCATTATGTCTATCACTCACGAATGTAACTGTACTGCAGCACACTTTTCGGATTTTATTTGATACTATTAAAACCTTGATATGTAAACAAATTTGAGACTTGGAAACTGAAGTAAACAAGAAACATTTCAAGGGGGTCTACAGCTATCAATAGGACATCTTTCGAACTTGGAGTTCATAGCATTCTGCATTTCCCCATACGGTTTCTTGTACTTTAAAAAATAATGACTTAATTTGATTTGGGTTCCGACAACTAAGCCTAACAACCTCAAACACTACGATTTCGAAAATGGCGCCTGCGTCCAATAAGACCGCGGCAACTCAGTAATAATCGGTGGTATAGTATTTCAAATATCTAAAAACAAGTAGGTTTTCCTGGAAGTCTATAAGTCAATTAAGCACATTATTATGTGAAGTTTGACCATAATAATTAAGTAGATAACATCAAACATTGGTGAAATCAATGTGATTTTCAGAATAAATTATGCAAATGAGAAAGCACGGAGCAGTATTCGGGCAGAATGCAAGGGTCGAGCTTATTTTTGTCACCGATTCAAATTATTCTTGTTACAAATAGATGACAACATAAATATCCAAAAATGATATACAAGCTTACGTGGTTGTAAGATAGCTATCCTCTTCTGATTTTCTCAAGTTATTCAGAGTGCCCGAGTCTACAATCCCTGGGAGTAATTCCATCCCATAATAGTTATGACGTGTACACAAGTACGATAACTCTAGGTCGTTGGTACCCTGTGGGTGAACACAAACATGTATTGAAAACTCACAAATATATTGTATTTTGGTAGTGATCCTATGTACTATAACTAAAGAAAAACTATTTTATGTAGCCGGGGTATTGCTATGACATTTTTTAAAAATGGTTCAGGTATATACTGTAGTTTAACTATCCAGATCATAAACTTACTGCCTACAATATGGATCCGGGTCGGTGGATAATTTGTATAGACAATTCCTAAAACCAGGAACGTATAGGCCTACGTCCCTACTACGTCCCTGTCCCTACTAAAACGAGCGCACTATACTGTTTCATGGCTGAAACAGAATTGAAGTTAAACAATTACAATTCGTAAAGGTAAAGGCTGACGTATAATACATGTGCTATTTACGTCTCTGAGCTGACCCGGTGAAACAGCGGGTAGATGGAAAGCCAGTTCGTTGAAAATTGCCGATAATACTAGCAGTAGAGATCGGGATATTAGTTTGATAAGAACGTAAATGCCAAGTGGTTATTATTACGAAAGATTTTAATAGACATTGAAGATAAATATATGCAAACAAACACTTTCAAGTTGGAAAGAAATCTGAAGAACTCTCTAGAGCGTACTTGGGCAATAAAAACCAAAGAAAAGCATCAAATGAAACGAAAAAAACCCTGTACAATTTCTACGTAATAAATGTGAAGATGAAAATATCAAAGGAAGACCCGAAGATAATCTGGCTATAAATAAACAGAAAATCTAAAAGCTATTGGTGATCACCACACAACGAGTCGGTAAAAAGAAAAAGAGATAAAGAATACGGTGAGAAATTATTTCGGTTATTTTTAGCATTGCTTTTGTAACAGAGGTCTTTGCCTGAGAGGTGTACCTCAAATTCCTCTAAAAGGATATCAGAAAGACGACGACAAGCGTAAAGGTAGCTGAAAAATGTTTACGAAAGATTCCATGTTCAGTATTGTGACTGATTGGAAAAGTAACTTGCTACGAGGAGATATGATTGAACTACACAAAATGACCCATGGAATTTACGTTCAAAAAGTTACTGGAAAGAACTAGAAAGAGTGGAAATTGAAAAAAAGTCCTTTTCAGCGTACAATAAAGAACAGACCATATAGCTTTCTACAAAGATTTACAAAACTGGGGAATTCCTTACCAGAAAACGTAGTATATGCCAATAGTTTAAAATATTTCAAAACTGAACTGGATAAACACGGGAAACACACTGCTTTATAAAATAAGGTCAAATAAATCTATGGACTGTGTAGTGTCGTTGCAATTAACTTTCATCTTTATAGCAAATTACTATGTTTTTTTAGTCTGGTATAGAGGATGCAAATCCTCCATTAAAAATCTTTTACCATATTTCATTAATAATTAAATATCATCTTAAGAAAAGATGCTGACGTAGAAGAATGTCTTGTACCAGGAATCTATCATTAGATTACATTAGAAATTCAATATTTAGTTAAGAAAAGATTGAGATATGTGGCCGATGTCTTGTCCTCGTTTCCGATCCGGGTGGTTATAGAAAACAACCTTTATTCCTCAATAATGAGAGTATGAGTATTTACATAGGATACAAAAGGTTATCCAGAACATATTTGTCTTACAGTACTAATATTAGCTCTATCAGTTGGATTTTTTAAACTGAAATATATGTTGGCACCTGTCACGAGGAAAAACCCACAATGAAAAATTCCGCATTGACAACATCGCGTTCGAAGCATAAACGTCTTCTCTTAAAAGTATCTACACATTCTTCCTATGGTAATCCCGATAGGAGGACATATGCTTACATGTCATAACAGTCTACTATCTTTGTCATAAAAGTGTCTTTAAGGAGAAAAGCAGATGTACTGAAGGTAATGACGTGTCTAATTGTATCAAACATGGCCGTTGTCAGAGCTGTGGCTGTTGATGTGGTAGACACGTCAACATTTTACATATATACAGTCTTGTGGTATTTAGGTGTACGTAACATTAGGCAAGGATTAATATATATCTCATGAATATCCCTAAATCGAGTGAAGTCACTGTCAATATTCATTCTGTTAGATAATAGCTCATTTTCGTTCTCCTGATTCTCTTATCATAGTTCCATTTACCATTTTAATTGTAATGTCAATTTTACACAATTACCGAAATTTTGAATGCACCAAATGAGGTTATATTAAAATGGTTACTAAATCTGGAATGAGTCCATATTGTCTCTGTAGAGTCTATTATTCCGAGTCAATTTCAAGGTACAAGCTCTTAAAATCGAAAATAATGATAACGTGAATAGCTCCATGATAACTGAAGATTTTTAAGCAATTTATAAAAAAAATATTTGATCACTGAAATAAAAGAAAACGTTCAACGAATTTTCTTTTCCCATGAAAAAAAACCCCAACCCCAAAACACAAAACAAAACAAATACATTCAAACGATCTTTTTTTGCAAATGTACAAAAAACAAAACATGTAAAAGTTGGATGACCACTTCGATATTCACATTATCCATTGGAAATATAGGCCTATTTGGAAATTCATTCAATCTTCAATAGTAGATAGGAAATGTAGGGACTTCCGATGGAGATTTTTACAAAGGCTCATTAACACCGAACATAACCGTGAACTAATTAATTAATTGGATGGACAATGCAGTTGTCAAGATTTGTAAAATTTCAAAATACATATATGGTGATGAAAACCCATTTAAAGACAAATTAAATCCACTTTAGTTCAAATTATAAACATAACTCAAATCAATGTTGATGATAAAATGCTGAAACTGATATTATGAATAGACATATGAAATGAAGTGATACAAAATCTTGTCACGGTAATGGTTTTAAGAACCGGATGTCCTATTATATCATAAAAGTGAAATGTTGGAGAGATATGAAAATGCGCATTTGATTGAGAATAACTATTATTTTCTGTTACAAGCTTCAATAAAAAATATACATCTCTTGTTAAATTTTGCATTGGTAGTGTATTGTTGGCACTGTTCTAGAGGAATTGACCGCATGACTCGTTTTTATGGAACTGCTTGGATTCATCATGAAAGTTAGTTTGGAGAACTAGTGACAGCATCTATTTCAGACGTTATTGTCTACTTGTCAGATCTACAGAGACATATTGTCAGCACTTTTTGGTTCTTGTTCCGCTCATATCAGATCTAGACGACATGTTGCTACCAGCGGGAAATATAGCTGGAATCAAGACAGCGTCTCCATACTAGCTTCTGCAGCGTCTGTATACATGTAAGAGTTGTGTCCCTTATGCCATGTGACAGGTACAGATTCAGCTTCAGCAGCCGTACGAGTTGTCGCGCCACACGTGCTCATTGTAGCCAGAAGCTGTCTATGTGAGTCTCATATATTGCAATTTGTCTACGTCACGTTACCATGACAACCAACGTGCTTTGCTAACTACCAGTGGCGCACAGGCTATTGTGTGTTGTACGAGGCCCGTCCGTCGCCACTACTTGTGTGCACACCGGTACAGCACGGCCACCATATATACCAGCCGATCGATCTCTCCACACGACTGCCAATGTAAATCCCCGTAAAATATCATGTAATTTTACACCTATTAATACGACACCGTGTCACATCGTGGGGTTGCGGAACGGTGTGACTGGCGACAGGAGGGATGTGAGCCAAAGACGGATCGAGAGACTAGTCTCGTTATAACGAGGAAATATCGCATATACGTCGCAGACGTATAGACATAATGTGTGTGTGGTAGATACTGTGCGTCATCATCATTATCATCATCGTCATCTTCATCACAAAGCATTGGCAGCAGTGAATTAAAGTGTCGTATGGATTTTCCAGCATCGCTACCAGCACCAGCGGCTGTATCCATGATTGCATGTATTCTGACGACGAAACGTTGGCTGTTTGTGAGAGATCGGTTATATAATGCAAGCTAGCACACCAGGCGAGCCACAATCAGCCGATATAACAAGGGTATCTTCTTCTTTATATCGCCACAGCAGTAGTGAGAGCGGCACCAGTAGCGAAGGAGTCAAATGCATCCCTTTTAACCCTGCCACAAGGGAGAGCATCAGTGGCGTCTCCATAACCATGAAAACCCAGCCCCGGAAAGACGGTTTCGACCCCGACCACAAGACAACGACTCGGATAGATTTCGGAGATTTCTTTCCCGACGGCGGTTGGGGCTGGGTGGTAACAGGGGCCGCCACCTTGGTAAACATTTTGTGCAATGGATTTCATTACGCCTTCGGGACACTGTATCTCTGTATACTCGAACAGAAGGAATTGAAACATCGAGCAGACGCCATCAACACAGGTAACATGTTTATAAACAAACATTAGTTGTGTCAATGTGTGATAAAGCATAAACACATGTATCTGTCACACAAGTTAGAGATCTGTGTATGTCACTGTGAGAGAAGATAGAGTGTGTATGTCTCGGTGACACAAGTTAAAGTGTTTATGTCACTGTGACACAAGGTCGAGTGTTTACGTCTCGGTGACACAAGATAGAGATCTGTGTATGATACTGGGACACATGGTATAGACGTGTTTATGTCACTGTGACACATGGTATAGACGTGTTTATGTCACTGTGACACATGGTATAGACGTGTTTATGTCACTGTGACACATGGTACAGACGTGCGAATGTCACTGTGACACAATGTATAGACGTGTGAATGTCACTGTGACACAATGTATAGGCGTGCGAATGTCACTGTGACACAAGGTATAGACGTGTTAATGTCACTGTGACACATGGTATAGACGTGCGAATGTCACTGTGACACATGGTATAGACGTGCGAATGTCACTGTGACACCAGGGATAGACGTGCGAATGTCACTTTGACAAGGTATAGACGTGTGAATGTCACTGTGACACAAGGTATAGACGTGTGAATGTCACTGTGACGCAAGGTATAGACGTGTTAATGTCACTATGACGCAATGTATAGACGTGTGAATGTCACTGTGACACCAGTGATAGACGTGCGAATGTCACTGTAACACAAGATATAGGCGTGTGAATGTCACTGTGACACAATGTATAGACGAATTAATGTCACTTTGACACAAGGATAGACGTGTAAATGTCACTGTGACTGAACATATAGACTATTGTTTGTCACTGTGACACAATGTATAGACGTGTTAATGTCACTGTAACACAAGGTGTAGACGTGCGAATGTCACTGTAACACAAGGTATAGACGTGCGAATGTCACTGTGATTCAACACATAGACGTTGGTTTATCACTGTGACACAAGGTATAGACGTATGAATGTCACTGTGACACAAGGTATAGACGTGCGAATGTCACTGTGACACCAGGGATAGACGTGCGAATGTCACTGTGACACCAGTGATAGACGTGCGAATGTCACTGTGACACAAGGTATAGACGTGCGAATGTCACTGTGACAAGGTATAGACGTGTTAATGTCACTGTGACACAAGGTATAGACGTGTGAATGTCACTGTGACTGAACATATAGACTATTGTTTGTCACTGTGACACAATGTATAGACGTGTTAATGTCACTGTAACACAAGGTGTAGACGTGCGAATGTCACTGTAACACAAGGTATAGACGTGCGAATGTCACTGTGATTCAACACATAGACGTTGGTTTATCACTGTGACACAAGGTATAGACGTATGAATGTCACTGTGACACAAGGTATAGACGTGCGAATGTCACTGTGACACCAGGGATAGACGTGCGAATGTCACTGTGACACCAGTGATAGACGTGCGAATGTCACTGTGACACAAGGTATAGACGTGCGAATGTCACTGTGACAAGGTATAGACGTGTTAATGTCACTGTGACACAAGGTATAGACGTGTGAATGTCACTGTGACATATGGTATAAACATGTGTTTGACTCTTGACTCAATGTGTAGAGATATGTGTAAGGCATTGAGACACACGTGTATGAATGTGTATTTCACAATTAGTTGAAGTGTTGTTGTTCCTTACGAATCAATGCCATTTTGGTCATAATATTGACTTGATCTCAAACACAAAGATTTACAACCGTTACATTTCAAGTTAAGCTATCCTCATAAAGGAAGCTGAAGACACTTATCCCTTCTTTACGTTCTTTGTCGTGTATCTTCATTTGAATGTTCCTTACTCGGTACTTTTCCCTCGTTGAATCGAAGTAAGAATTTGTAAATACATCGACATTTTCTTGTTGATTGTACTCGTCAGTAGGATACAAATGTTGTGTTGGGTTAGTCACAAGGAAACAGGACTTGTGTTGTGTTGGTCACTGGGATACGGTGTTGTGTTGCTCACAGTGATACAGGACTTGTGTTGTGTTTGTCACTGAGATACGGTGTTGTGTTGTGTTTGTCACTGAGATACGGTGTTGTGTTGTGTTTGTCACTGAGATACGGTGTTGTGTTGTGTTTGTCACCAGAATACAGGACTTGTGTTGTGTTTGTCACTGAGATACGGTGTTGTGTTGTGTTCGTCACCAGAATACAGGAGTTGTGAAGTTTTGGTCACTGAGATACGGTGTTGTGGTGTGTTTGTCAACAGAATACAGGAGTTTTGTTGTGTTGGTCACTGAGATACGGTGTTGTGTTGATTTTATAACAAGAACAGAGAAGTTGTGTTGTCTTGGTCACTAAGATACGGTGTTGTGTTGTGTTTGTCACCAGAATAGAGGTGTTATGTTGGGTTAGTCACAAGGAAACAGGACTTGTGTTGTGTTGGTCACTGGGATACGGTGTTGTGTTGCTCACAGTGATACAGGACTTGTGTTGTGTTTGTCACTGAGATACGGTGTTGTGTTGTGTTTGTCACTGAGATACGGTGTTGTGTTGTGTTTGTCACTGAGATACGGTGTTGTGTTGTGTTTGTCACCAGAATACAGGACTTGTGTTGTGTTTGTCACTGAGATACGGTGTTGTGTTGTGTTCGTCACCAGAATACAGGAGTTGTGAAGTTTTGGTCACTGAGATACGGTGTTGTGGTGTGTTTGTCAACAGAATACAGGAGTTTTGTTGTGTTGGTCACTGAGATACGGTGTTGTGTTGATTTTATAACAAGAACAGAGAAGTTGTGTTGTCTTGGTCACTAAGATACGGTGTTGTGTTGTGTTTGTCACCAGAATAGAGGTGTTATGTTGTGTTGGTCACTGAGAATCGGTGTTGTGCTGTGTTGGTCACCAGAATACAGGAGTTGTGTTGTGTTGGTCACTGAGATACAGTGTTGTGTTGTTTTTGTCACAAGAATAGAGGAGCTGTGTTGTGTTGGTCATTGAGATACGGTGTTGCGTTGTGGTGGTCACAAGGATACAGGAATTGTGTTGTTGTTGGTCAATAGGATACAAGAATTGTGTTGTTGTTGGTCACAAGGATACAGGAATTGTGTTGTAGTGGTCACTAGGATACAGGAATTGTGCTGTGTTGGTCACAAGGATACAGGACTTGTGTTGTGCTGGTCACTAGAATACATATGTTGTGTTGTGGTGGTCACTAGAATACAGGAATTGTGTTGTGCTGGTCACTAGAATACATGTGTTGTCTTGTGGTGGTCACTATAATACAGGAATGGTGTTGTTGTTGGTCACTAGGATACAGGAACTGTGTTGTTGTTGGTCACTAGGATACATGAATTGTCAAGTGTTGGTCACTAGGATACATGAATTGTCTAGTGATGGTCACAAGGATACAGGAATGGTGTTGTTGTTGGTCACTAGGATACAGGAATTGTCAAGTGATGGTCACTAGGATAAATGAATTGTCTAGTTGTGATCACTTGGATACAGGAATTATGTTGTGGTGGTCACTAGAATACAGGAATTGTCTAGTGGTGGTCACTAGGATACAGGAATTGTGTTGTCGTTGGTCAGTAGGATACATGAATTGTCAAGTGATGGTTACAAGGATACAGGAATTGTCAAGTGGTGATCACTAGGATACAGAAATGGTGTTGTTGTTGGTAACTAGGATACAGGAACTGTGTTGTTGTTGGTCACTAGGATATATGAATTGTCAAGTGATGGTTACTAGGATACAGGTATTGTGTTGTGGTGGTCACTAGGATACAGGAATTGTCTAGTGGTGGTCACTAGGATACAGGAGTTTTCTTGTGGTGGTCACTAGGATACAGGAACTGTGTTGTGGTGGTCACTAGGATACAGGAGTCGGGTAGTGGTGGTCACTAGGATACAGGAGTCGGGTAGTGGTGGTCACTAGGATACAGGAACTGTGTTGTGGTGGTCACTAGGATACAGGAGGTGTCTAGTGGTGGTCACTAGGATACAGGAACTGTGTTGTGGTGGTTACTAGGATACAGGAGTCGGGTTGTGGTGGTCACTTGGATACAGGAATTGTCTAGTGGTGGTCACTAGGATACAGGAATTGTCTAGTGGTAGTCACTAGGATACAGGAGTCGGGTTGTTGGTGACGATACAAATGTTGTTTGGTAATTTGGTAATTCAGATTTTCCTTTCTAGATTCATTTACCTTTTCTTTGAACACGATTCGTTTATAACGTGTTTTTATATTGTTATACGAGTTGTGCTATACCTTGATATAAAACCACGGTTTAGTGATGTTAAACCCTTACTGTCACACAAACTACACCCGGCACGTGTGTCTTATTACCACATGTTTAAGACCCTGATATCAATGTCAACATTTACAACTGAAGTCCACACCCAAATATTGTCTCCTACCAGGCTACATTTGAACATCTTTCTAGATTTATTAACAGAAAAACACAGTAGGATACATGCGAAACAACAAGAACATGTGCATCAGAGGAGTCCACCTCCACGAACAGATTCTCTCTACAAACATAGATTTCAAATACTAGAGCAGATTCCGGATAAATACTAGAACAGATTCCGGATAAATACTAGAACAGATTCCGGATAAATACCAGGATAAATTCCGGATAAATACCAGGACAGATTCCGCATAAATATCAGGACAGATCCCGGATACCCCATCAGACTGCAGGTACAACAGCGGATTCCATATACAGGAAAACAGATTCCGGATACAAGAGTAATACCATATATTGTATAAACACTAGATACAAGGACGGATTTTGGATACAAGAATAGATTCCAGAGACGAAAGCGATTGAAGATATAAGATCAGACACCAGGTACAGCGATGCATTTCTGAATAGTCTCTGGATACAAGAGTAGATTCCAGATACAAGAGTAGATTCCAGATACAAGAGTAGATACAAGAGCGATATCAGAGACGTGTGTGGGAAGGTAGACTCCGTCACCAGCTAGTTATACCCAGGTACTAAAATGGAGTTCCACGTGGCTATA